GTAAGAATTATGAAAAATAAAAAACTGCCGGTGTAATGTGCCGGTGTATACTACTACTGTTGCTTTCTATTCAAAGAAGCCTGGTGTTCATAAAGATAATTGGCCGGCACATGGGAAAGAACTCTTTGCTATAAAAGCTGGTCTCGACCAATGGCGTCATTATCTTGACGGTCATCAGTTTGAAATATTTATTGATAATAGCGCATTCCATGGCTCCTTTATCATCCAGAAGTATCGCCAGAATATGAAAGATATTTGTCAGCATTTACCGAGTTTACGTTTACGATCCATCACATCAATGGTGCTCTCAACGTCGCAGATGATACCTTCTGCTCCTTCCAACATTGACATTCATAATTGTGATGCTAATTGTCAGGCTCATGGGCCTCGTTTGCAAGTTTCACCATCTGGGTCAACTCTGATGCGGGAGGGGACTACGTCACTTCTAGTTGCTGCGATAATGACTGAATCGTATGTCGAGCTGTCTCCAGAAGTTCGTATAATGTTTCATCAAGCTTATGCCAATGATCCTGAGTCTTAAGACCCATGGACAAAGTCCGATACAGACACATTTTTCATCAAACATGATGAATTAGTTTTACAGGAGCTTCTAACAAAGTTACAAGACTTTGTGCTCCAAACAACTAACGCTTACGAACTCAAGTTATTTCTCAATATCATGACTCTACGATATCTGCTCATCCTGGAAATTGTAAAATTTTCTCACGAGTTGCGCAATGCAATGGATTCATTGGAAAACATTGCAAAATAAGATCAAGGAATACGTCAAGACGTGTGAAACTTGTACACGCTGAAAGCATAATAGTCAACGCAAAATGGTTAGCTTATACCTATTCCAATCCCAGAGCAATGCTGTCATGTTGTGTCCATGATTTTCATAACAGGACTTTGTTTCAAATGGTCTGATGCAATTTTAACTGTTGTCGACAAATTGTCAAAACGTACCTAGTGCGCTGCAGTGCATGCGAATGATGACGCACCTGCAACAGCCAAAGTATTATTTGAAGCTGTTGCTCGACACCATGGCTTACCTAAGCTATCATCAGTGACAGGTATAGAAAGTTCACTTCATCATTTTGGAAATCTCTGATGACAATTATGGGTGTTCGACTTAGTATGACAACAGCACATCGAGCTCAAGCTGATGAGCGAACTGAGCGACAAAACTTAGTCGTTGAAGATGCACTTAGATGTATGGTGTCCTGTCTTGGTACAGATTAGACAGATTACTTAGTCACCATAGAATATGCTCATTCGACACTTGTCAGCGCATCCACGGGATTTTCTACCTTTGAATTTGATACCGAGAGAAAGGAACGCTCATCATGCAAAAGCATAAAATATAAATGATTTGAAAGTTATAGTTGATGTACAGACTAAAGAGTTTGTAAAAATAAGACAAAAACTATTGAGCGAGCGCGATAGAATCTACGTAAAGCTCAAACCACTCAAAAGTAATGCTATGATCAGAAGAAAAAATTTCACAGAAATCGATATTTATGAGCGTGGGAATTGAGGCCGTGTCTTATTTCGCCTGAGGTCCCGCTGTGCGATAATTAGATCCAAAGTCCTACAACAAATCTGTGTTAATTGTATTCAAAAGGATTAGTACCCTTGAAATTTGGAGAAAACAGCATAATAGTTGGGAGCTCGCAAAATAGGTGTGGCTTCTTAAGCTGCTTTACCTCCATCGTTTATCACATCCACTTACATCTATTTCAAGATGAGCCAATCTCACCATAGTATTTCGAAATTTGGACATATATCACTCTGACCGATAGCTCGTTTGGTAGCAATCCCTTGCGATGCCGAAGAAGAATTCAGATAGAATACGCTTTAAATCTTGAGCTGACACTTGAATCAAGCGTCCAAGGCCGCCTAAATTCTGCCAAAACTACCACTTTTTAGCACTTAACAAAAATATATTGGTATATTGATTTAGCGACTTAATTATCGATCTGATCGCAGGCGCCTATATCAAAAAGTACGGCCATCCTAGCGCTTCTGTTACCGTTCAGATCACAG